ACGGTGCAATGTGGCACCATGCAACGCGGCATGGTGCAATGTGGCATGTCACGGTGCATTCTGGCATGGCATGGCACAATGTGGTACAGTGCAATATGGCACAGTGCAATGTGGCACCATGTAACGTGGAACGGTGCAGTGTGGCATGGCACGGTGCAATGTAGAACGGTGCAATACGACACAGTGCAATATGGCACACTGCAACATGGAACGGTGCAATGTGGCATGGTATGGTGCAACGTGGCACGGTGCAATGTGGCACAGTGCAATACAGCACAGTTCAATGTGGCACCATGCGATGTGGCACGGTGCATTGTGGCACGGTGCATTGTGGTATGGTGCATTGTGGCATGGCATGGTGCAATGTGGCACAACGCAATGTGGCACAGCACGGCACAACCTGGCATGGTGCAACGTGACATGGTGCAATGCGGCACACTGCAATGTGGCATGGCACAGTGCAACGTGGCACGGTGCAATGTGACATGGTGCAATGCAGCACACTGCAATGTGGCACGGCACGGCACAACCTGGCATGGTGCAACGTGACATGGTGCAATGCAGCACACTGCAATGTGGCACGGCACGGCACAACCTGGCACGGTGCAACGTGACATGGTGCAATGCGGCACACTGCAATGTGGCATGGCACGGTGCAACCTGGCACGGTGCAATGCAGCACAGCGCAGTGCAGCACACGATGGTGCAGTCCAGCACGATGCAGCGCTGCACTGCCCGGCCTGGCACAGCCCCTTGCAGGGCACCGTGTGGCTGCGGGGACACCCAGAACCACATGGGGACACCGGGAGCCACTTGGGGACACCCGGAGCCACTTGGGGACACCCAGAACCACACGGGGACACCCGGAGCCACCCGCACGCTGCAGCCACGGGGAAGCTCTGCTGCGAGCTCGGGCACCGCGGCCGCCCCGCGCACGTGCACCAACCTGGCGACAGGCGACGCTGCGGGAGCCGCGGCTTTTATTGCAATAAATACACGGTGGGGGATACAGAGGCTGGGGGGTGCCGTGTCCGACGTCGCTCCCGCGCCCCCCGCGCCGTGCTGCCCCTTTCCTGCGGGCACCGTGGACCCAGCCCTGCGGATCAGTTCTGCGGCTGCAGCGCAGCTGCCATGCATTCCTGCAGTGCAGCTACCATGCGCTCCTGCAGCAACGCTGCCATGCATTCCTGCAGCGTGGCTGCAACGAGCTCCTGCAGCCCTCCTGCAGCACAGCTGCCATGCACTCCTGCAGCACAGCTGCCATGCACTCCTGCAGCACGGCTGCAATGCATTCCTGCAGCACGGCTGCAAGGCACTCTGGCAGCACAGCTGCAATGCGTTCCTGCAGCGTGGCTGCAATGCACTCCTGCAGCGTGGCTGCCATTGCAGCATGGCTGCAATGCACTCCTGCAGCGTTCCTGCAGCGTGGTTGCAACACACTCCTGCAGCACGGCTGCAATGCGCTCCTGCAGTGCGCCTGCCAGGCATTCCTGCAGCGTGGTTGCAATGTGCTTCTGCAGCGTGGCTGCAATGCGCTCCTGCAGCGTGGTTGCAATGCACTCCTGCAGCACGGCTGCAGCCACCCGCGTGCTGCACACTCTGTGGCCAAAGCGCCGCCCGGCCCTGCGTGTCCCCGCAGCACCTCTCTGTCCCCATGGCAAGCTCTGTGTCCCCGCGGCAGCTCCCTGCATCCCCACGGCAGCTCCCTGCACCCCTGTGGAAGCTCCCTGCACCCCCACAGCTGCTCCACGTCCCCATGGCAGCTCCGTGTCCTTGCACAGCAGCTCCGTGTGTCCCTGTGGCAGCTCCCTGCATCCCCATGGCAGCTCCCCGTGTCCCCACGACAGCTCCATGTCCCCACGGCAGCTCCCTGTCCCCACAGCAGCTCCATGTCCCCGCATGGCAGCTCTGTGTCCCCATGACAGCTCCATGTCCCCACGGCAGCTCTGTGTCCCTGTGGCAGCTCCCAGTGTTCCCACAGCAGCTCCCTGTCCCCACACACCAGCTCTGTGTCCCCACGTCACCTCCGTGTCCCCACGTCACCTCCGTGTCCCCACAGCAGCTCCGTGTCCCCAGGGCAGCTCCATGTCCCCAGGGCAGCTCCGTGTCCTTGCCACAGCTCCCTGCATCCCCATGGTGGTTCCGTGTCCCCACGGCAGCTCCATGTCCCCACGGCAGCTCCGTATTCCCACACCAGCTCCACATCCCCCCATGTCACCTCCGTGTCCCCAGAGCAGCTCCATGTCCCCACGGCAGCTCTGTGTCCCCACGGCAGCTCCATGTCCCCACGGCAGCTCTGTGTCCCCACGTCACCTCCGTGTCCCCACGACAGCCCTGTGTCCCCGTGGCAGCTCCCAGTGTCCCCACAGCAGCTCCACATCCCCACACCAGCTCCACGTCCCCCTCCCCAACGTCACCTCCGCGTCCCCAGGGCAGCTCCGCGCCGGCTCCCGCTCGCAGGGCCTTTTATTGCGGGGCGCCTACAGGAAGCAGGCGACGTTCTCAGGGTTGAGGGGCGCCTGGATGTCCAGCTTGCGCCCCTTGCTGCCCTGCTCCACGATCTCGAGGCGCAGCGTGGGCGCCGCGGCGGGCGCGGGCGCCGCGGCGGGCGCCTTCAGCAGCCGCTTGTCCGCCGCCTCCACGGCGATGCGCAGCGTGCAGCCCCGCGGCAGCAGGTCCTGCTCGTAGGCGGCCGCCAGCTGGTTCACCACGCGCCGCTCCACCTGCGGCACCGGGGGTTGTTCCCGTGGGAAGGGCGCCCGGGGACCCCCCCGAGGCCTGGAGACCCCCCCTCCGCGAGGGACAGCCCGGGGTCCCCGCGGTGACGCCACCAGCGCGGTGGACACCGCGACGTGGCACGAGGGTCACCGACAGACTTGGCTGCTTCTCAGCAAGGTGCCCGTGTAGGGGACATGCCACCTTCTCTTGGTGGCTTTTCACCCATGCAGGGGACGTGCCACCTTCCCTTGGTGGCTTTTCACCCATGCAGGGGACATCCCACGTTTTCCTGGTGGCTTTTTGCCTGTGCAGGGGACACGCCACGTTCTCCTGGTGGCTTTTCACCCATGCAGGGGACGTGCCACCTTCTCTTGGTGGCTTTTCACCCATGCAGGGGATGTGCCACGTTTCTTTGGTGGCTTTTTGCCTGTGCAGGGGACACGCCACGTTCTTCTGGTGGCTTTTCATCCATGTAGGGGACATCCCACATTTTCCTGGTGGCTTTTCACCCATGCAGGGGACATGCCATGTCCTCTTGGTGGCTTTCCCCCCATGCAGGGGACATGCCACGTTCTCCTAGTGGCTTTTCACCCATGCAGGGGACATCCCACTTTCTCCTGGTGGCTTTCCCCCCATGCAGGGGACATGCCACGTTCTCCTAGTGGCTTTTCACCCATGCAGGGGACATCCCACTTTCTCCTGGTGGCTTTCCCCCCATGCAGGGGACATGCCACGTTCTCCTAGTGGCTTTTCACCCATGCAGGGGACATCCCACTTTCTCCTGGTGGCTTTCCCCCCATGCAGGGGACATGCCACGTTCTCCTAGTGGCTTTTCACCCATGCAGGGGACATCCCACATTCTCTTGGTGGCCTTTCATCCATGCAGGGGACGTGCCATGTTCTCTTGGTGGCCTTTCATCCATGCAGGGGACGTGCCATGTTCTCTTGGTGGCTTTTCAGTGGCATCTTGYGGGCACAAGTGCCAAGCAGGGGTTGCCACAGGGGTGCCACAGACGGATAMYMGGAGTCCCCGTCCTGCCTCTGGGCACACGGATGGTGCCCACGGGGTCCCCTCTGCTCCTGCGTCACCCCGACACCCCCGYCTGCCCCCCGCTTGTGCCTCACCTCGTGTTTGATGGAGCGGGCGCCGTAGTGCAGGTTGTAGCCGTCGGCCAGCACGTCCATGACCTCCCTGTCCCACAGCAGGGTGATGTTGTGTCGTGCCTGGGCCTGGGGGGGACATGGGGGTGTCAGCGGTACCTTTAAACAACACATTTAGTGACCCTGGACACCCCGGGCAGGGATGTGGGGGGCTCAGGGTGGCCCTGGGTTGTCTAGGGTGGCACCTGTACCCGTTTAGGTGACAAAGTGCCCTGCTTGGATGGGGGAATGGGGTGGTGGGGACCCCATGGGGAGCTCAGGGTGGTCCTGGGGTGTCTAGGGTGGCACTTGTACCCCCTTAGGGGACAAAAAGTGCCCTGCTTGGCTGTGGGAATGGGGTCGTGGGGACCCCATGGGGAGCTCAGCGTGGCCCTGGGGTGTCTAGGATGGCACCTGAACCCACTTGGGGGACAAAGTGCCCTGCTTGGCTGTGGGAATGGGGTCGTGGGGACCCCATGGGGAGCTCAGGGTGGCCCTGGGGTGTCTAGGATGGCACCTGAACCCACTTGGGGGACAAAGTGCCCTGCTTGGCTGTGGGATTGAGGTCGTGGGGACCCCGTGGGGAGCTCAGGGTGGCCCTGGGGTGTCCAGGATGGCATGTGAACCCGCTTGGGGGACAAAGTGCCCTGCTTGGCTGTGGGAATGGGACGAGGACACTGGCTGTGTCTCAGGGACATCCTCATTCCGCTCCCCACGCAGCTGCCCCAGCCCGGTGAGCGCAGCCACGGTCCCCAGGGACCAAGTGACACGAGTGACACCAAGATCTATGACATGGGGACACGGAGYGCAGGGACCTTCACTGCCCTGCGCCCTGCAATGGGGCCGGGGAGCCRCTGGGAGCCCCCAGTCAGGAGCAAACTGGGTCCCCAGGCCCCACTCAGCACCTGGAGAGCCCACGTGCAAGGACAAATCGGGCACTTTAAGGACCCAGATGCTCCCTGGGTTTCACCCCACTCAATGCCCAAGATGATGCAAGATGATTCCAAGATGATGCCCCGGTGATGCAAGAGGTTATAGTGAGAAACGGCCCATTTTTTACCTTCTTGGCCCAAAAATTCAGCTCCTTGTTGACGAGCTGGATGAGCTCCGAGTGGCAAAAGGGCAGGAAATAGACGATCTCGTTGATCCTGCCCAGGAACTCGTCCCGTCGGAAGTGAGCCTGCAAGGAGAGCAGTGAGGGTCAGCACGAGGGGACAGAGCAGGGACATTATCCTGTCCCCAAACACAGCTTGTGTGTGTGACGAGGCCTTGAGTGTGGCAGCTAGGGCCCAGAACGACCCAGGGGGTAAAATTTAGGCCCCTGAAACGATGAAGTCGTAATAAAGCATGCTTACCTTCAAGATGGGGCGGATCACCTTCTCCTTGAACTGCTTGGAGATGGTGATCTTGTCGCTCATGTGCACGTCCTCTGCAAGGCACAAGGGCAGCGCGGTCACCGGCAGGGCGGGAGGAGCCCGTCCCGTGTCCCCACGGGAAGGAGCCTCCAGCCGGAGCCGTGGGCAGCGGATTCTGGGAGCTTCCCACCAAACATATCCCAATCCGAGAGATTTTAAGGGTTGCTGGGCCCACACGGATGGCAAGTGGGGGTCCATTCAGCACCACATCAACGCTATCATGTTGGAGACACAGGATGGCTGAGGGTGGAAGGGATCCCTAGGGATCACCCAGTGCAGCTCCCTGCTCCATCAGGGACACCCGGAGCACCGGGCACCCGCTCCATCCCGGCGCGGTGGGAAGGTCTCCAGAGCAGGAGCCTCCGCAGCCTCCCTGGGCAGCCTCAAGCAGGGCTCGGGCACCCTCCCACCAAACAAGTTCTTCCCCACGGCCACATGGAGCTGCCCGGCCTCCAACCTGCACCCACTGCCCCTTGGCCTGCCCCTGGCCACCACCCACAAGAGCTTGGCCCCTTCCTGCCTCCATCCTCCCCTCGGCTGCTTGCACACACTGACCAGGTCCCCTCTCGGCCTCCTCTTCTCCAGCCTCAACAGGCCCCGCTCGCTCGGGCTCTCCTCACACGAGAGCTGCTCCAGGCCCTTCCTCAGCCCTGTCGCTCTGCGCTGGCCCCTCTCCAGCAGCTCCACGTGCCCCTTGTCCTGGGGAGCCCAGAGCTGCCCCCAAGGCTCCAGCTTTGGCCTCCCCAGAGCTGAGCAGAGGGGCAGGATCCCCTCCGTGCCCTGCTGCCCACGGCCTCCGGATGCAGCCAGGAGCCCATTGGCCTCCTCGGCCACCGGGGCTCATTAAGCTGCTCCCTCCTCTTATCTTTCCATTTATCTGCCCATCCAGGCACTTGCAGCACCCTCGTGGCCAGGAGCTCAGGAAATGACGGGGAGCTCCACGAAACTCAATTGAGCCCCGGCTCCTCATCCCAAACGCCTTTTCCAGGCGCGTTCCCTGCCAGGCTCCGGCTGCCGCCGTCTGCGGCGGCCGCTGCAGAAATTAAAATTCAATGCTCTGCTCATTTGGGAGGAAAGCGCTTGGCATTTCCAAATGTTAGGCTTGAAAGTTCAGTGGCGGGCAGGCCGTGTCCTTTAGCCGCCTCAGAATCCGGAAAATTGCAGTTTAAAGATCGGGAATTAAGGGAGTTTTTCGCTCCTGCGTCTCCAAATAAAAGGAAGATCCGGTGGGAGGGAGGAGGTTGGGCCCCCCTGCGCCCCACAGGGCATTTCCAGGGGTGCAGGGGGGTCTCGGCTCCCACCCTGTGGGGAATGGCAAGGGGGGAACAAACCCCCTTTCCCAGGGGATCCCCCGTGGGATCTCTGGCCCCGGCACATCGGGAAGGGCAGAATGGGATGAGGAGATACATGCTGGAGCCGGGAAAGCCGCTGTGGGATGGAAATTCCTTCCCATGGCCAAGCAGAGCTCCGGGACCCCTCAATAACACCCTGCTCAGGAGCAAGGATCCACAGGGATGCATCCCACGGGAAAGCAGTACCCAGGTTTTCGGCGAGCCGCTTCTTGCTCATCTCCAGRGCCTCCTGGCGGAGCTGCAGGGCGTGCTGCGCGATCTCCTCGCTCGCCACGTTGGACGTCATGATGAAGATGGCATCCTTGCAGTCGATGGTTTTCCCTTTGCCGTCCGTGAGGCGGCCCTGGAATAAGAGCAGCCGGGAGAGGCCGCGTGAGCGGCTGGCACAGCCAGGGTGACAAAGCACGCGGTGACAGGTCCCCGTCCTGCTTCTGCCCGGGACACATGTGGCTTTGGTCACCTACCTTGTCGCTCGACCCTCTGCCCATCTCCCTGCTGTGGTTTCGGGGCTGATACCCRAGCTCTAGTGACTGCCCTGAGGGCAGGTGACGCTGCTGTCACCCGCTGTCACCTGATGCCACCAACGCTCCCCTCTGCTGGGGCTCTTGTCCCTCTGAGCCGGGGACACTCCGGGCTGTGTCCTGGTGGGACGCGGAGCAGCGGGGACACGGCACAGCCCCCGGTGGGGACTCTTTGGGGAGGTGACACGGAAAAGCCGAGCGGGTGGCGGCAGCGGTGCCAGCTCTGCCCGAGTCACCGCAGCGCTGCGGGGGCCACCGCCGCAGCTGGGGACATCTCGGGGGTGGCAGGGAGCAGCCAGGCCCACGGTGACGCTGGCCCGCGGGAAGCAAGCCAAAAGGAAGGAATCCCTTGGGAAGAGCAGCGCCGGGAGGAACACGCCGGGAAGCGGCCGGCAAGGGCAGCCCAGCTCTTCCCTGCGGAGGTTGGGAACGGGCCGGGGGGGTCCGAGCCCCTTTTCCTAGCTCCCACGGAGCCATCCCGGCACTAAGGGGGCCGGGGCAGCCCCATGCCCCGCTTTGCACCCACAGAACTGCCCCATTTGCCCAAGGAGAGGCCGACGGCGGCTCCTCCGGAGCAGGCAGGGCAGCGGCTGCGGCAGCGCCGGGACCTTCCGCGGGGACCAGCCCTCGTGATCAATAAAATAAAAGGCAGAGCCAAATAAAGGGGRAAAAAAAAAAMCCAAGCGGCTCCCCAGGCGGTTCCTTTCCTCGATACGTCTCCGGCAGCAGATCCCCCGCACAATGACACAAATCCTCGTTGGGTGCTTGAGATTAACATTTGGGTTATTGCCCTGTCAAGAGCGCGGCGCGGGAATTGATTTCACATTTAGCGGCTGCTGCGATGATCTATGCAAGGAAAAATTGTGTTATTAATCCTTCAAAGGGAAACAAAAGCCCCCAAAAGCTCACGGCCTGATGCTCGGGAGTTGGTTTCGCTCTGTGGACATGGTGGGACCTTCCCAAGAGGCAGAACTTGCCTGGAATCTCCTTGCTGGTGCCTGGATGCTGGTGCTCCAGGCATGGGAAATCCTGACTTCCCAAAGTGACTCATACAGAATCCCAGAATTCCAGAATGGTTGAGGTTGGAAGGGATCTCTAGAGATCATCTAGTCCATTCCCTGCTCCAGCAGGGACACCCAGAGCACAGGGTGGCATCCAGCTTGGTTCTAGCGACCTCCAGACCTCCAATGTGCCCAAGCAGCCGAGGGGAGGATGGAGGCAGGAAGGGGCCAAGCTCTTGTGGGTGGTGGCCAGGGGCAGGCCAAGGGGCAGTGGGTGCAGGTTGGAGGCCGGGCAGCTCCATGTGGCCGTGGGGAAGAACTTGTTTGGTGGGAGGGTGCCCGAGCCCTGGTTGAGGCTGCCCAGGGAGGCTGCGGAGGCTCCTGCTCTGGAGGTCTCCAAAACCCACCTGGATGCCMCCCTGTGTCACATACTCTGGATGTCCCTGGTTGGACTAGATGATCTCCAGAGGTCCCTTCCAACCTCAATCATCCTGTCATTCTGTGATTTTGAACGTCACCAGGCCCTCCGCTCACTCCTGCCTAAGGCTAAACCTAAGCCTAAGCCTAAGCCTACCTCGTCGAAGAGCTGCAGCATGATGGTGAGCACGTCCGGGTGCGCCTTGTCCACCTCGTCGAAGAGCACCACGGCGTTGGGGCACTGCCGCAGCTTCTTGGTGAGCTGCCCGCCCTCCTCGTGGCCCACGTAGCCYGGCGGCGAGCCGATGAACTTGGCCACCTGGGCGGGAAGCAAGGGGACACGTGGGACACCGGAGCAGSCAGCGATCCCTTTCCATCGGCAAATCCAGCTCGGACATCCGGCACACCCCAGGTATCCCAATATCCGCCTAATCAGCAGGAATTGGGCAAAACGCACATAAGGAAATAGTGAACAATTAACATTAGCCCCTGGCATGTGAAGGAGCAGCTGTTGGCGGGAGAACGGGCGCAATTCCCACCTGCTGGAATGGTGTCCGTGGCCCTATCCCAGCCTTCAACGTGGGGGTCTTTTCAAGAGAAGACTTTACGGGAATGGGAATGGGAACGGCAGAGGCTTTGGTGGGGAATTGGACTTGGGCTCCGCAATCAACCTCACTCTTTCTGGGTGCTATGAATATTTAAATACATTTGCAAAGAATAAAWTTGGAGAATATTTCTGAAAACGGAAATATTTCAGTAAAAAGCACAGGTGAGTTTTGATGCAGCCTTGGGCACTGTCGAGCTGGCCAGTTTTGCAGGTGACTCGGACTCCTTGTTCTTTCCACTGCATCGTCACCCTGGCATTATTTTTATTCATTTCTCCTCCTGCTCCGGCGTGGGATCCTTTCCTACCCACCGAGGAGCCATTTCCCACCCTGGCCCCAAGCATTTCTATATTTTCTCTTCCCGCAACCCTTTAATATTTTGGAGAAAATAACACTCTTGGTGCCTCATCCCTCTGCAACTAAATGTGGTCTGTGGTGGCCAGGCTGGACACACTGTCACAGCAAAGCCTGAGGATGGAGCTGGCCAAGGCTCTGGCTTTGAAACCTCAGCACAGACCAGGAGRGGATTTGCAGCATCTGCGTTTGGTCCATGTGAGGCTGAGGGGACGCAGGTCCAGCCAAGCCAGGCCTAGGAGGTTAGGAGGGGCTGCAGGAGCGTCTCCTTGGTCGCTCTTCCTGCTGTGCTGCATTTCAACGTGCTGCTCTTGCTGCAGTCCTTCCTGCACCCTGCTTTTGATGCCCAAAACTGCCCATGTCCTGGAGAACATGGGACACATTGGGGAAGACCCACAGCCAGGACTAGGTCCCCGTGACAGAACTAGAGGGAACAGTCACAAACTGAAGCACCAAAAGGTTAATTTTCAGGAAAATTCCTTGGCAATGACAGTGCCAGAGACCTGGAACAGCTTGCCCATGGAGGCTGGGGAGTCTCCTGCTATGGAGATCTTCCCAACCTTCTTGGATGCAGCTGATGCCACCTGCTCTAGGTGACTATTTGAATGCAGGGGGTTGGACTAGATGGTCTCCAAAGGTCCCTTCCAACGTTCAGGACTCCGTGATTCCATGATTCTAAGACAGCATCTCCACGGGGGCTGTTCACTGTGCTCGAGAGCGACCTTCRGCCCCTCCAAAGACAGTGATGGAAGGTTGGGGAGAGAAGGAATTGAGACCATTTGTTTAAATTACCAATTAAACTCGAAACCGCAATCGCTGGGGGTGCGACAGCCCGTTTACTCACCTCGTGCCTTTCCTGGAACTCGGACATGTCCAGTCTAATGAAACCCTGCGAGAGAAATACACACGTTAGGTTCTTTTCTCCAAGTTTCAGTGCATTTAGGAGTCTTCTCCAGAGACAGATGGGTGGCTTTGGGGAGGAGTACGAAGCCAACACAACCCAGGTTCATGGTTGATCACATACAGGACAAGATATATTATTAAAGGATTGAACAGGCAAACTTCCTTCATCATTTCAGAAGGTGCCCCAGGGCAGGAGGTGCTGCCGTCAGCTCCACAGTACAGAGGGAGGCAGCGACGGCGCTGCCCTGCGTTGAGCTCTTGCAAGATGCATCAGTGTTTGCTGGAGGCACCATGAGAACAGGCAGCTTAGGGAGGGTTTCAGTTCAAAACAGCTCATTTTCTCTCTAAAAACCCTAAAAAACCCCACTAAATCCTCTCTAAAGCCTCTTTAGAGCATCTGAGATGCTCAAATCCCTCAAAACTGTCCATGCRTTTGGCTGCTCTAGACTTCTGTTGATCAATTCAGTCTCTATCATGTGGAACTGAGACCAAACCAAACGTTTCCCCACTTCAACACACCACAGAAATCCTCCGTATGGGAAGTCTCCGTGGGAAAGCAGCAGCATCTTCCACATGGGATGGAAAGTTCCCTCATGGAAAGGATGGGGACCCATCCAACGGAGCCCTATGATCAAGGCGCCCAAGGGCCATCAGGACGTCTTGGGGACACCAGCCCTTGTCCTACACGTCTCCATGAGCACGAAAACGAGACCCTTATGGATCTCCTCATGAGGTAGCTCCCGCCGAGAGCTGCCTCCCCATGWAGTTTATGACCCCTCTCCACACCGCTCGTTACAGCAATGACTGTCAGGCTGATTCATTACCAGCAAGACGCCGGTTCGTGCGCGCTATTGAATTAACGCAACAACCAGGGTTTAACTGATCTTTCTATTTGATGTTTGGCCTGGCATTGACCAGGCCCAGGTGCCGGGGCTTTGGTTGAAGGTGCCCGAGATCCAGGAACTGGGATTTATTGCCTCTGGATGGCAATTACGGGAGGCTGATGAAAAGAAACCAGAACAGCCCTTTTCACAGCTTCGTTTTGATCTTCTTCCTACTTATGTCACTTTATCTTGTGTCTCCTCTGCGCTGGAAGATGCAGGAGATAGTGGGGACTCATCTAAGAAGGATTAATTAATCCATGGGGCACCTCTGTGTTTCTTCCTCTCCCCTGCGACGTGCAGAGCGGCCGCAGGTCTCCGGAATGGAAAACGGGGCTCTTCCCAAAAGCAGGAAGGTGCTTCAACATCACCCCAGGAATCCCATAGAGCTGCCCAGGGCGTTTAGGCTCAAGCCTAACGGAGGGAGGCCTTACCTTTTTGACGTCCTTGTGCAGGTACTTGGCGGTCTGCTTGGCCAGCTCTGTTTTACCTGCACAAACACAGGGAGAAGAGGCACGTCAGGCAGCGACAACAGCTGATCCTTGCAGGACAGACAGACAGATCCTTCCTGCCGTATTTTCCCTTCACAAAAAGCTGCAGGTGGATCAGCTCTGATTTCCACAAGGGTAATTCTAAGGCGACAGGAGGGTCTTGGTTTGATTTATACRGGGCAACAGGCACAAACCCCCAGGCTTATGAACGATCAATAATTCAAAACGCATTCGGAGAGCAGATCCCCATGGACAGCGGAGCAGGAACCCAGCTCTCCATGCGGGTAAAAACCCGGCCGAGGGGCAGCGTGTCCGAGCGGGACACGGTTGTCCCCACCAGGGCCACCTTGGTGCCACCCATGGACACAGAACCGGGGGTCTAGTACAGACTTTGGCTCCACAAATCATGAGAAATGGGGACAAAATGGCACTGGGGTCACACCAGAAGACGCTCCGTGAGTTAAAACTTGGTCTCCTGCTCCTTCCCAAGCTCTCATCACCGGCAGCTGCCTTTTCCATTTAATTCTCCCCTGGAAAACAAGGACTCCCACCCGTTAGGACAGACACGGCCCTGCCCTCAGTCTCCTAAATGAGAAGAAAATTGTATCTTAAAAACCAAACTAGCTAAAAATAGGCAGGTGGTTCTGCCTAGCCGGCGGAGCTGCAGCTTAAGGTGGAAATGGGCTCTGGTGGTGCAAAAAATGCATAAATCCCTCAAGTTGCTGATCTTTATAATATTGTGCTCCTGGARCATCAAACATCTGCCCCGGCCCAGAGCAGCTGCTTTTCCGTTAGGATGAATCTGGTCGATCCGATCTCCAGGTTCATTTAATTACAGCTGCTGCCTAACGAAGGCCAGGATATTTTACCGACTCATTTGTGCCTGGAGCCCTGGACTTGGGGTGGGCCCAGCTGCTGCTTTGAGATAAAACCACAAAAAGGCTGCAGGAAAACGGGAGTTCTCCCTGTGCACGAGAAAACTGCAAAATTCTGCAGCTTCTCCTGTTTTGGGGGTTTTTTTTTTGCTTTGCTACCAATTGTTACCTTCAGGAACTGCTGTATCTCAACCCGATGTGCGAAGACATGAATATATACGTGTATGCACTCATGTATATGTGCAGATATAGGAAGGGATCTTTAAGGAGCATTAAACAGCCGTGGGAATCTGCTGTTGGGTATTTTAGTGTGTGCAATACCTGCCAGCTTGCCCCGAGCCCCACACGAGGACCCACTTGATGCATTAACATGCTCGGCTGCTTTGCTCTCTTAATCCAATATTCATTTTTACGGCAGGCGAAGAAAAACGGCCAGGGGACCATAGGAGAGCTGAGGAGCTGACAATTTATATTGTCGAGGCGTCAGATGTGCCAGGGGCGCTGCAATGAAGTCGCCCAAACGCTTCTTACTTTCTCTCCAGCTTTTACAGCAACTCATTTGGAGTTAATACCTGGCCTGCTCCTGCTCCAAGGCAGGAGCCTGTGGAGCCAGGAAAGGCTGCATAAGCCCCGTCTTAACCCTTCCAGCACCAGCTCCCACATCTCCCAGTGCCTCCGCTGCGGGCAGGAAGGGCACCCAGTTTGCTCCCAATGTCCCCCTCCTGTTGCTGTAAATCTCTCTTTTTTCCTTTTTTTTTCCCCCTCTAATCAAAGCCCTTTTGTCCAGTTTCATGAGTGGRTCGATGTTGTGTTTGCTGGTGTTTGAGGAGAACTGTGATCAGTGGCAATAAAACCATCACGGAGACGGCTCGGGCCACGGGAGCAGGGCGAGCGGAGACCCTATCCGGGCAGATATTCCCGCAGGAAATGCTCCAAAACGGCACTTTTCCGCTGCAAACTCTCCCTTCCCACGTCTCCGAGGCCGTCCCCATGGCTAACGCGTGGGCTCCGTGTCCTGAGGACACCCCCCACCGCCCCAGCGTTACCTATTCCAGAGGATCCCAAGAACAGGAAGACCAGCGGGTGCTCCTCGTCGTACCAGCCGTTCTCCTTCCTCCGAATAGCTGCGGGGAGCCACGGCCCCGAAGCAACGGCAGGAGCGAAAAAAGAGCGAAAAAAGGCAAAAAGAAAGAAAAAAAAAAAAAAGAGAAAAGCAAAGCAGATAAATCAATGCCACGAAAGCCAGGCTAATTATCACTAAGCACACACTGGGTTTTACTGCTCTCTGCCCACTCCGAGGCCTCGCTGCCATTAGTGGCAGCTAACTGGATTAGGCAGCCAAGGCCCCCGAGACGCCTAACGAGGTTAGCATGGATCTGGAGAGCTGCCCGGAGCCCATCGCGGAGCAGGTTTTCCAGGATGCGCGCTCGGCGTTGCCGGGGCGACGGGGCTCCGATGCCGGCTTGGGAAGCGGGAGGCAGCGGGGCCGCCGGCGAGACGTTTCCACGCGGGCTCCCGCGTGGAAAAAAGAGGGATGTTGGAGTGGGAATGTGGAGCTGATGGGGAGGCTCTTCCGAAGAGGTGGACGTTGGGGCTGGATCTCTCCATAGGTCTGTTTTTTCCATACTAGGGAGCAATATGGAAGAGCATCCTGGCTAAGAAGCCAATGGGAAATTTCCCATTGGAAGCAGGGAGGATTTGGGGAGCCAAACACCCCGTTATGTCCCAAAGCACCAGAGGGAAAACCACATCCTTGTCTCTAGAGGTGGTTGCTCCTGCAGAGCTCCTGGTCCTTCTGACCCTGTTCAATGATTCTGGAATCCCATAATTCTGGAATCCCATAATTAATTCTGGAATTAAGTAATTCTTGAATTAAGTAATTCTTGAATTAAATAATTCTTGAATTACRTAATTCTTGAATTACATAATTCTTGAATCATATAATTCTTGAATCCCATAATTCTTGAGTTAAATAATTCTTGAACAAAAKAATTCCTGAATTAAATAATTCCTGAATTAAATAATTCTTGAATTAAATAACTCTTATCCCTCCCATCCTCACGTGTGGTCCTGTCCATGACAGGAGGTGGCACCTCCTTGTTGCCCCGATCGTGCTCCGGGTGACGCTCCACAGGGTTGATGGCACCGAGACCAGGGTTTGGGCTGGGCACGAAATGGAGCAGAATGCCAAGGAATTGGCTCCTGAGCTAATTTTAAGGGAATGGAGAGGCAAATGCCCAGGAGAATGAAAATTAAGAGGGAAAATAAGGAGTTCTGCAGTGTGAGAGCAGCTCAGGAGCTGCAGGAAGCACCAGGCTCATCCCTGTAAAGAGCAAATCTGGGAATTCAACCTGAATAAGAAAGAAAAGTCCATGAAAAAAAGGTCTGTTTGATAGAGTTGAGGAAAATAAGGAGTCCTTAGAGCAGGTATCCGAGCAGCGATGCCTTCCTGCAGGGGCAGGGCTAGGAAACTTCCCTAAAAACAGGGACAGGATCGAGATAAACACTTGAYAGACATGATAAACACTTCCATAAGGAGCTGAACGTTTTGGGTATGCGGGTGGCAAGAGATGGGATGGGAGGACCTCAAGACAGACCCATCAATGTGGTGAGGAGCAGCAAGGGGAGCAGGAAACCTCRCGCAAGCCCCAAATCTGCCCTACGGAGCGGGAAATATCCATGTGCTGAGGACAACGGGAGGGTGCCCGGGCTSCAATTCCACATGGGGAATCATGGAATGCTTAAGGTTGSAAGGGACCTTTGGAGAGCACCCAGGGCAACCCCCTGCACACGCAGGGACACCCGGAGCAGGTGGCACCAGRTGCGTCCMGGATGGTTGAGGTTGGAAGGGACCTCTGGGATCGTCCTCGACTTTGGAGGACTTTGGAGCCCCTTTGGATGGTCTCTCTTTGGAGACCATCCCGTCCAACCCCCTGCACACGCAGAGACACCCGGAGCAGGTGGCACCAGCTCCATCCAAGCGGGTTTTAAGGATCTCCGGAGCAGGAGCCTCCGCAGCCTCCCTGGGCAGGTTGTTCCAGGGCTCGGCCACTGCCACCACCAGGGATTTCTCCTGAAGTTCCCGGGGAACTTTTGGGGCTCCCGTTTGTGGCCGGTTCCTCCAGTTCCATCAGTGGCCACCAGTGCAAAGAGGCCGCCCCGTCCTCCTCGCTCCTCCCTTGAGGTGTCCATGGACACTGCCCAGGTGCCCCCTCAGCCTCCTCTTCCTCAGGCCGAGCAGCCCCAGCTCTCCCAGTGTCTCCTCACAGGCCGGATGTTCCCTGCTCATCCTGGGATCCATCGGATGCTCCGCGTTTCCGGACCGCTTTTCCAGCTCCTGGAAGCTCTGGGCACTGCTCTGGGTCACACAACTGCCCCAGATGTCCATTAAGGAACATTGATCCGACATCCGTGCCGAACAGCCGATGATGACGCCGGTGCCTTCGTCTTCTCCGGAGACAGAGCCCTGCCTTTATTTGGGACATCAGTAACGCGGAGCGGGAGCGCCGCGGCTCCGGGAGGCCCTTGGGCCGCCGATTGAACGGATAAATTCACTGGATTGCTTCGCACAAATCAATAGCCCGGCCGCTCTCGGGCCGAGCCGCGGCCGAAATTGGTTTCCGCCAATTTGGGGGTGTAATTAAGGGCCGTTTGTCACCTCCATTCATGGGGGTGACCCGTGAGCGGCGCCGGGTCCAGATCCGCCCTGGAATTGCTCTCCTCCGCGCGCCAAGGGCTCGGGTTTGGGTGGCACCCTGTGCCCCGGGTTCTGCGTGTCCCTGTTGGAGCAGGGCGTTGGGTTGGATGATCCCGAGGGATTCCTGCCAACCTCAACCATGCTGGGGTTTCACCAGTTGTGGAGTCTCCCGTGGGATCCACCACCGTTGCAAGGAGCTCGTGGAGCTTCTGTGGGATCCCAGGAATATGGACAAATTCCCAGGGATATGGAAAAATTCCCAGGAATACGGACAAATTCCCAAGGATATGGAAAAATTCCCAGGGATATGGACAAATTCCCAGGAATACGGACAGATTCCCAGGGATATGGACAAATTCCCAGGCATAAGGACAGATTCCCAGGAAAATGGACAGATTTCCAGGAATACAGATGAATTCCCAGGAATATGGAGAGATTCCCAGGAATACGGACAGATTCCTAGGGACATGGAAAAATTCCCAGGAATACGGACAAATTCCCAGGGATACAGATAAATTCCCAGGAATATGGACAAATTCCCAGGAATACAGACAAATTCCCAGGAATACGGACAGATTCCCAGGAATACGGACAGATTCCGAGGAATACGGACAAATTCCTAGGGATATGGACAGATTCCCAGAAATACGGACAAATTCCCAGGAATATGGACAGATTCTCAGGGATATGGACCAATTCCCAGGAATAAGGACAGATTCTCAGGGATATGGACAAATTCCCAGGAATAAGGACAGATTCCCAGGGATACGGACAGATTCCCAGGAATACGGATGAATTCCCCAAGCACACGGCGTGCGAGGCCTCCCTCCGAGTGCCCTGCTCGGCTCCTAGGGAATCAGGAACGACCAGGACCTCTATGGAGGCTCCAGGCTTGCTCTCGAGCCCAAAGGCRCCTCGGTCAATTCGGAGCCGCAGGGAGCCGCCGTTCCCAGCGGGACTGGCTGCATGGAATCATTAAGGTGGGCGTGGATCCCTAGGGATCATCCCCAAAAAACCCTCTTGCAGATAAGAGAGGAGTGCCGGAGCAGCCACCCGCCTCAATGGTGCTCCTGGCATTGGGAAGCGTGCCATTCCCAGGCATCTGGGATCCCATGGCATTCCCAGCCGTCCGGGAACCTGTGGCATTCTCAGCCATCCAGGATCCAGTGGCATTCCCATGCATACGGGATCCTGTGGCATTCCCATCCATCTGGGATGCCGTGGCATTCAGAGTCGTCCGGGATCCTGTGGCATTCCCAGCCACCCGGGATCCTGTGGCATTCCCAGCCACCCGGGATCCCGCGGCATTCCCAGGCATCCGGGAGCACATCCTACCTGCGCCCACGGTGGCGATGGCGCTCTCCTGCCCGATGATGTGCTCCTTGAGGCGCTGCTCCAGCGGGAAGCGCCGCCGCTCTTCCACCTCCCTCCGGCGCTGCTCCTCCTGGAACTGCGGGAACAAGAAGACATCAGGATCGAGAGCCCTTTCCAGGAGCAACTCGTCCGATTTTGCCTCCTGGAAAGCCCTCTSCGAGCATCAACGAGGGGGAAACATCTCCCAGGCTTCCCAATGAGACACAAGCTTCCCGGGAGCTTATCTTGGGAAGAGCGGGACTCTCCCGCCCGTATTTGTTCCGCCACCTTCCAAAGATCCGCTCCGAGATTCCAACGCACATGGATGGGTGAAGGGAAGAGATGATGTCATCGGTGGCACGTGTGACAGGAGGTGCCATCGCTCCGGATGCTTCCGATGGAGTGGGAATGTCCAATGGAGCAGGAACGTTCGATGGGGCGAGAATGGAGCAGGAATGTCTGATGGAGCAGGAACRTCCAATGGAGCAGGAATGTCTGATGGAGCAGGAACATCTGATGGGGCAGGAAGGTCTGATGGAGCAGGAATGTCCAACGGAGCAGGAATGTCCGATGGAGCGGGAATGTCTGATGGAGCGGGAATGTCTGATGGAGCAGGAATGTCTGATGGTGCGGGAATGTCTGATGGAGCAGGGATGTCTGATAGGGCGGGAATGGAGCAGGAATGTCTGATGGAGCAGGAACGTCCAATGGGGTAGGAATGGAGCAGGAATGTCTGATAGAGCAGGAATGTCCAATGGAGCAAGAATGCCGGATGGAGCAGGGATGTCCGATGGAACAGGAATGTCCAATGGAGCAAGAAAGTCTCATGGAGCAGGAACATCCGATGGGGCGGGAATGTCCCCACGGATGCCAGCAGAGTGGCACGTGCAGGACAGAGCCCACCATGTCCTGGCTTCAGATGTGTCCCCAACGCTCCGAGCGCAGCTCTTCCCCTGTATCCGTGTCTTTCCATGGATCTTGCCCCATCCGCTCTTCCTCCTTCCTCTCCCGTCCCTCCTTGCAGGGTGCAGAGCACAACTGTCACCGTCACAACGCGGGGCCGTGCACGACGGGGGGCTTCTMCGCTGCAAAGCCCCCCCTCTCCCTGCTTCTCCCGGTTTTCCCTTGGAAAACCGGYGCTCCGGGCGGGAAGCAAACCCAGTATAAGGCTGCACTGGCTGCAGTGCTTTTTCCCAGGCACTTTCTGCCTGGGCTCATTCCAGGGAAACCTGCCATGAAAAAGGGGCATCTTCTCCATAGGGACGTGGCCTCCTCGCCGCTTGGAGCGACCTGGACGTGGAGCAGCTGCCTCAGGCCGCACGGGTGACACAGGACGTGGTAAAAGAGGAAAAATCACGGAGAAAAACGGGCTTTAGACCAGGCAGGGTACTAAAACTGACCAAATAAAATATACCAATAATCTTGGAGTCTGCTCTGTATTGATCAACCAGGAGCTATGGCTTCCTAGCGGAGAATCTCTGTCTTTTCAAAGTGCTGTTTGAAAAGGGAGGGTTTTTTGGGCTGAGGTTTGGGTTTTCGCCCTGCCGTTTGGGATTTCCAGCACAAGAGCAGCGGCAGCCTCCGGCCACGGAGCTCATCCGGAGCAGGGATGATGATTTAGGAGAGGATGGGGATGATGTTCCCGTCCAAACCGGGCTCAGTGCTCGGCTCAGGGCTCTGCTCTCCTCCCAGCTGCCTGTGGGAGCCCAAGAGGGATCCCTAGGGATCATCCAGTCCAGCAGGGACACCCAGAGCACGGGGCACCCGCTCCATCCCGGSGCGSTGGGAAGGTCTCCAGAGCAGGAGCCTCCGCAGCCTCCCTGGGCAGCCTCAACCAGGGCTCGGGCACCCTCCCACCAAACAAGTTCTTCCCCACGGCCACATGGAGCTGCCCGGCCTCCAACCTGCACCCACTGCCCCTTGGCCTGCCCCTGGCCACCACCCACAAGAGCTTGGCCCCTTCCTGCCTCCATCCTCCCCTCGGCTGCTTGCACACACTGACCAGGTCCCCTCTCGGCCTCCTCTTCTCCAGCCTCAACAGGCCCTGCTCGCTCGGGCTCTCCTCATACTAGAGATGCTCCAGGCTCTTCCTCATCTTCATCACTCCATGGACTCTGCTCCATGATGCAGATAGTCCATGAATGTGTCCAGACAGCTGTTCCAACASCCCTGGTCACAACCAGATCAGAGGAACCCCCTTCACTTGATCCTGAGCTTCCAGAGACCTCCTGGACAGCTACGGATGTCGCTTCTCCCACCTCTTCCCAACTATCTCGTCAAGAGCCACCAGGATCAACAACTGGAGCAGCGAATCGGGTTCAGGGTCTGCATTTGTTGGTAAGGAAACCAACACCAGAGAAGGCACCAGCCCCTTCCYGCCCTGCGGTGCAAACGAGACCAGCGGGGACCGCTGCGCTCTTACCCACCAAAAACGCCTCTTTCATAAACTTCTTTGGGGCAAAACTGGCCTTTAAGTGAGTTAGGCTGGCGATAGGTGCGGTTAGTCGCGGTATTTCCAGGGCAACGCGCATGGGGATGAGRTGCAAAAAAGCTCATCCAGGTTTCAAAGGAGACCAGGATGGTCAGTTTATGTTCAGCTGCAAAACGTGACAGGGACATAAAGCTAGTTATAGAAATATGGGTCTCTGGGGACTTTGGGAATGGTTCTTTCTCGGGAAGGGCCAACATTGACTTTGAGGGGTTAAGGAAAGCAGTAAATTGGCCCCAGCGCAAGGCGGTTCCATGCCTGGATCTGCTCTCCATGGAGTGGACATCTGTGTCCATAGGGTTGTGAGTGCAGCTGGGTGAAGAGTTGCTTCTCCAACAACCAAAGGACACTTCTGGTATCACAGGTGCTTCAGCTGGATGCTCTGGATGGGAAAGGGCAGCGGAGACCTGAATCAGAGCTGCCCGGGACTCAATCCGTTCCCATCGCTCCGAATGGAGGGCACCCGTTGGAGAGGCTGGAATGACGATGCCAACTTAGTGGCCAACATGGTCCGGAGTCCCAGGCGCGATGCCCAAGGGCAAGAASACCAGGGAGGTTGTGGAGTCTCCTTCTTTGGAGGTCTTCAAAACCCACCTGGATGCCACCCTRTGCCACATGCTGTAGGTGTCCCTGCTGGAGCAGGAAGGTTGGACTAGATGATCTGTAGAGGTCCCTTCCAACCTTGAATATTCTGTGATTCTGTGAACACTTTTGTGAAGCTTGGAAACTCACCCCAAATCTATCCTTCAGTTCCTGGCTGGTCTTCTTGCAGGCTTTCCAGAAGGAGAAAGGATCCCAAGGGCAAAGGAAGGACGAAGTGACCTCACACCTCCGTCCTGGGGCTGTTTTAATTCCAAAGGCTCCGCTCCCAAGGGCTGCTACTCCCTTTTAGCCCTACATACGTGACAGTTTATTTGCTTTCACCAGATTGTTTAGCAACACGAACTAGCTCAAGAGTCCTAAACGCCAAGCCAGGGCCGTCTAGCACCGGGAGAACTAGTTTTCCTTCTTGAAAAGAGCAAACGAAATCGAAATAAATTAAAAATACATATGAAAACTCCCTGTTATTCTGTCACAAGGATATGTAAATAAAATCTATGCGACGTGCCCATCCCGCAATAGCTCTGCCAATTCATTCTCTGGCAGTGATTAAAATGAGCAATAAATTCTCAAAGACTCTCGGTGGAATGCGGAGACCGGGGCGGATGCAACCCCTCCAGCACCAAATCCCCCCCAGCTAAATATTCATCACAAGCTGCCTCCACTGTCCTAGGTTTTATATACAAGTACAATCATCTTCCTCGGCAACGTCTTTGCAGATATATTTCCTTCCTCTGCTCCATCTATTAGTTAAGCCTAAAAGCGAAGGCGGCTTTTGGAGCTGTTGGGGGCAGCTTCTCCTGCACTCCCGAGACCACTTGAGCAGCAGGTTGATTTTTCCCCTCTTCCTTGAAGATTTCGAGGGCTTTCTTCTCAACTTCCCTTCCTGAAAACTTCCTCGAGCACATTGTGTTTGACCAAGCACGAGAGGAAAGGTCATTGCTTTCCATGCCTGGGTTTTGCACTTGGGACATCCCGTTTTCAATTCCAGATCCAGSAGGGATTCTCCTGGTGGGACGGTGGTTTTGGCTCCCAGCAGACATAATTCTGGGTGATATCTATAAAATAAACTACCAATATGCTAAATATGCTATTAAACAACTGCTTTCATCTCCCAAGCATAGGCAAGTTCCTAACTATAGGTTCAAATGTGCAGGTCCAGAGCAAAATGTGCACACCAGAACTGGAGACACGCAAGGGCTGAAGCCACAACCAAAACCCTGAGCAATTTGGTGGCTACGATGGGGATTTGAGGCTGAATTCCCTGCCTGACTCGAGCTTCCTGCAGAGATGGTGCTCAAGAGTCATCCTGCCTCTCCTAATGACTGATAATTAATTGCTCTTACTTAAACAGGGCCTCAAACCCAGGGATTTTAAGTATTTCACAGCAGGCTGTGGAGGCCTCGTGTCTAACGACTTGCAGTTGTGCTGAAATGAGTTCAAAAGCAGATGAAAAGGTGGCCAAGTTCCCCCAATGCTGCTCACAGGTAAACAGATTAATTCCTGAGGCTCTTCTTGGAACCACTGCTCAATATCCCAGTCTTTTCCTTCTTAGAAATACCCGTTGAAGGGACACAACGAGCTCTTTTCCAGGAGAAATGGAGGCTGAGAGGGTCGAGATGAACATTTTATGAGCGGAGAGCAGAAATCGGTGGCCTTTTCTCTTAGGCAGGGGTTCATGGATACATGGCTACCAGGCCTGCCACYGGATTCGTTGCAGAAGGATCTGCTTCTATTTTCCAGGAATTCCAGAAAATAAAGTCCTGATTTCCCTGCATTTTGGCCTAGAGCTTGCAAAATAGAATTATTTATCCTGTGCATCTCACTAGCAAGGAAGAAATATTAATATGGAAGAGGAGGACACGTAATGCTGAAAGCAGCTAAAGGGACTTCACAAGTTGAGCTTCTTGCTACGCCCTGGGCCATTCCCTCGTCAATACACGGGAATTGTTGAGCATTCCATGCTTAAAAAGCCTGGGATGTTGGAAGCAGGGAAGGTGTTGCCCGTGGGGAGGGAATTGCACCGAGACGCTCCCGGATCGGGGAGCATGGGGCTCACCTTCGTCTCGGAGGCTTTCAGGAGCTTCATGACCTCCCCTTCGCGGGCGTAATCCAGCGGCGTGTGGCCCATGTCGTTCTTCTGCAGGGGGTTGGCACCTGAGGGGGCAAACAAATCCCCATGGGATCAGAACAAGCAGGAGGCACCGCTCCCATCCCGCCGCATTGGCCTCTCCCGATCCCCGTTCCCAATCCCGGGGTGCCTTTGGG